ATGAAAATGCATTTGATATATTATGTTGCATATATCATAAATCTGAATATTGTTGATGCTCTAAACTAGAGTAGACCATTGCAATCATTAGGATTTACTCAAGTGTCGGTTTCCTTGGTGGGGCCTTATTGTTGGTTTATGGGTGAGAGTCCCTCTCTTTAAAATGAAAATGCATTTGATATATTATATTGCATATATCATAAATCTGAATCTTGTCGATGGTCTGAACTAGAGTAAACCCATGGCGCCAATCGAATTTACACAAGTGTCGATTTACCTACAGACTTGTTAGTTTATGGGTGAGAGTCCTTCTCTTTAAAATGGAAACACATTTGCTATATTTCATTATATTGCATATATTATGAGTCTGAATCCTGTTGGGAGTCTGCACTAGAGTAAACCCATGGAGCCAGTAGGATTTACGCAAGGCTGGATTTCTCTGAAGACTTGTTAGTTTATGGGCGAAAGCCTGTCTCTTTAAATGTATTTGATATATTGCGTCCCATATGTTATAAATCTGAATTTTGTGGCTGGTCTGAACTAGAGTAGACCTATGCAATTGATAGGATTTACACAAGGGTCGATTTGCCTGGCGGAGTCTTGTTAATGGGTGAGAGTCTTTATGTCTTTAAAATGAAAATGCATTTGCTATATTTCATTTATTGCATATAAGTCTGGATCTTATAGATAGATAGCCTGAGCTAGAGTAGACCCATGGAATCAATGGGATTTACCTAAGTGTTGACTTACTTGGTGGGGAGTTGTTGATTTATGCAAGACTCCCTCCTTTAAGATGAAACCCCCATCTATGATATAATATTGTTTTACATATGTTATAAGCCCAGATCCTATTGATAGTCTAGATTAGAGTAGACCCATAGAACAAAAGGGATTTACATTTGGGTTCACTCCCTTGTTCCAAAGTTTGCTTTTTTTGGTGGTGTTTGGCAGAATTTTCTCTTCCAAAATAAAATATAAATAGGTCTCCAAGTAGAGTAGGTTCATTCAGTCTGTAGCGTTTACACAAGTGTTGTCTTACCTACGTTGGGTGCATCTACACTGGAGAAATAATGCAGTTTGACACCACTTTAAAGCGCTGTAGCTCCCTCCTTTGGAATCCTGGGATTTGTAGTTTTGGAAAACCCATTGCCTTCTCTGCCAAAGAGTGCTTGAGAAATGATTAGCTTAGAGCAAAGCTTGGGAATTCCTCCATTTGTTATTTGATTGCAACTCCCATCAGTATCCCTGGCCAGCGATGATGGGAGTTGCAGTCCATCCACATCTGGAGAGGGCTTATCCCTGACCCAAGATATTGAGAATAAGGATAAGGTATATGGAACTGTCCAGATGTTTGTTTGTTTAAAATATTTTTATTAAAATGATGAAAAAGTGTAACAGATCTACAAATACAAATTGATTTTTCTGTGCCTACAAGACATACAAAGGAAAAACCAAAATAAATAGAGTAAATATATATATATAGAAAGAGAGAAAAGGTAACATAATATGTTGTTGTGAGCTTTCAAGTCATTTCTGACTTTATGGTGACTCTATCCTGGGTTTTTCTTGGCAAGTTTCTGATTCAGAGGATAGCTGTCCTCTGAGGCTGAGAGAGTGTGACTTACCCAAGGTCACCCAGTAGGTTTACATGGTGCTACACACTAAACAGGGAAATAATTGCTTCCGGCATACTAGACCATGGTTCTTGTGCACTCCCTTTGCTCTATTCTAATAATAATAATAATAATAATAATAGTCTTACTATCTTATCTACCACCACAAACACAAACACAAGTCCTCAATTAGGACCTAACAAAAATATAAAATCAACATTTTATGCAAACTCTCTACCATCCACAAGAAATATGCCAAAGTAGGTGGAGGAAGATGTGAGATATATATAGATATGTAGATATTTGCATTTAATTTAATTTTAAAAATATAGGATTGTAAGGAGGTGCCATTAGGAGATGTAGAGGAAATTTAAAAAAAAACAATTTTGCATTTCATTTAATTTTTAAAATATAGGATTGCAATTGCAGGGTGTAATGGGATTTGCAGTCCAACAACACACAGGAGGAGGTTCTGTAATTGCAAACTTTGGGGTATTTATTTTTGCAATATAAAAATAAATACCTCAAAGTTTGCAATAACAGAACCTCCTCCTGTGTGTTGTTGGACTGCAAATCCCATTGACCTTAGCCAACTTAGGGCCTTTGCAGACTGCCAGAAATAGTGCAAATTGAGTCCACTTTTAGGGTTAGGGTTAGTGCTAGGGAATGATGGGAACTGTATTTTATTGTGGCACCAGAGCTCTCTGACAGAGAAGGCTCAATGTCTCAGAAAAAAAGACAATTCCCATGATTCCCTAGCACTAACCCTAACTCTAAAAATGGACTCAATTTGCACTATTTCTGGCAGTCTGCAAAGGCCCTTAGACAATGATGGGAATTGCAGTTTGAGGAGGTCTAGAGAGTGAATTTCCACTCTTGGTGTGATGGGAAAGGAAAAAGGAGAACAAGGATGAAGAGGAGCCTTTGGTGAGTCTCTGTTTGTTTCTCTAGCGCTTGAAAGGGTACCTACCACTTGAGATGCTTTTATATCTCTAATTAAAATGTGAAGGACGCATTTCCGCCGGCTGGACACAAGCCCCAGCGGACGGACACCGAGGGCCCCCTGGACACACAAAGACACACAAAGACAAACTCTCCTGCTAAGGCCCTCCAAATTCACTTTTAGGGGCATAGGGGAAAACATCAATTAAAAAAAGATTGCTTTTTTTTTTCAGCCCGAGAGAACACCTCTCTAGGAATCTCTAGGTCCTCCAGTGCAACTCTGTGGTCAGCATCCACTGGAAATTGACCATAGAATTGTGCTGGAGGACCTACAAATGCCTAGAGATGTCTGTTTTCTCAGAATTTCTAGGTCTTCCAGCATGACTCTGTGGTCAATTTCCAGTAGATTTGCACCTGACGGCCTGGAGATTCTTACCTACCTACCTATCATCCATCTACCTACCTACCCACCCATCTTTATCTATGCACCTACCCGCCCACCCACCTACCTATCTGCCTACCTACCCACCATCTATATCTCTTTATCTACTCACCTACCCATCTACCTACCTACCTACCTACTCAACTACCTATCTGTTAATCAAACCTGCAAATAACCAAATCTGCAAAAATGAAAACCGTGAATGTAGAGAGGGCTGACTGCACAGGTATAGGTCAGTTAAGTAGCGGTGTTCCTAGGCAGTCTTTCTTTAACCAAAAAGTTGGTTCCAAAGGCAGAAATCCAGTCTTTAGTTAGAGTTCATAACCAAGGATCCAGACTCATGCCTGTTGTCGGTAGTGGAGCATTTCTGCGTCTGTGTCTTGCATTGTTTGCTGCTCTGATCAGGTGCTTTTTGCATTCCTGATCTTCAAATCTTTTCCTTGCATGCCTACTACAGGTTGTTTTTTTTCTCTTTAAAAAACAACTGTTTAAAACCCAGAGTCCTGTTGAAACGTAACTGAGCTAATAAATTAAACAACCAGCTCCGGCTTCCATTTATCTATCTTAACTAATAAGACAGTTTCCATTATAATCAAATAATCTCTCTTAATTAAATGGGGGGCTCGGTTGGCTTGGAGCCAGATCATGAATATGGATGCCGGGGAGGGAGGGAAGGAAGGAAGGCGGGCGACTTGACTTCAGCTGTCATGGGGAATTATGGACCAAGTTCCGGACAGAGGGGGAGCAGGATGGACAGGAAAAATAATTTACTGAAGTCCTTTTGATGGAGACGTCTTATGGCAGGCCAATATGCGTACGTAGGCAGGCGGTTCGCAACCAGAACCTGATTCCGCACTGGAGACCCAGAGGCAATCTTCTTCCTCTTCAGCTGGATGTGACTCCCTTCCCAACCAGCAGGGGGAGACAAAGCACTCTCTGGTGAAGTTCTCCCAATGTTTTTGGACTGCAGGACCCAGCAGTCCTAGTCAGCATGGCCAATTATGCAGAATGTTCAGCAACGTCTGCAGGTTCATACGATTTCTGCGCTTGTGATATATCAACCTTGCAAGTGAGAAGGCTGGGTCGCAAACTAGATGTAGTTGGCTCCGCCTCTCCCGACGTCTTGGCCCCGCCTCTCCCGACGTCTTGGCCCCGCCTCTCCCGACTTCTTGGCCCACCATCCCCAGTAGGCACCAGCCAGCCACCCCTCTTGGAGTGCAAAGGTGTACCAGGTTAAAGCCTTTATTGTGGCCACTGGTGAACCTCCTTTTCTGTAGGGCAGTGAATCCGCTCTGTGCTTTAGCCTGAACTTTACAAAGGCACTATCCAACGTACAAGGACAGGATAGCATCCAAGAATCCTAGAGTTGGAAGGGACCCCCTTGGCCCTCGAGTCCCATCCTCCACTCCCTGGTGGAACACATGGATGGATAGAATTACAGTGAATTTGTCATCAGTGTCGTTGTAGTTAAGAAGCCAGTTGTGGTGCAGAGGTGTGAGTGTTGGGACCATGACTCTGGAGACCGGGGTTCAATTCCTTGCTCAGCCATGAAACCCACTGGGTGACCTTTTTGGTCTCCCTTCTCTTGCTTTGTCCTCAGCTTACTTGCTGCAGTTTCTGGAAACTGAATTCAAAATGCAAAAGTAGGCACCAATCCATTAAGTCTTCAGGAAAGAGAGGAGAGGAGAGGAAGGGGCAGAATCCTGCCCTT